AATTTGGTGCAACAGAAAACATTTCTCCAGTAGAGGTCACTCACCACTGGGTTGCAAGTTTGGCCCCCTCTCTTCAACTGGGCAAGTGTACGTTGGCTAGCCTCACCTTCTCAAATGAAGTTGGCCATGGGGCTCTTGAGGGAGGCCCATCACTTGCTGCAACCAGTGGCCTCCATAATACAGGCTTGATTGTTGCAAGAAGATAATCCTGCTCTGTCTAGAAACCCTTTAGAACTATCAGCTTTGAATAGGAATTGAAATTTTCAGTAGAACCAGCGGAATACTCTGGCAATAGTAGTGGAATAAATAAGGTCAATGCTTTCAATATGTAATTTTCACGCTAATTGCCTCAGACTTTGCTTTTCTTTCGCTGCATTCAGTTCATACTCAGTTTATACTCAGTTCATACTCAGTACCAATAAAAGTACTTTCTCTACAAACATGGAGTTGGGGTTTTTCTTTCTTAAGTTTTGAATGGAGGCACACTTGACAGTGCCTCTACAGTATCAATACAGTATAAATAAAATGGTTCATCCAAAAATTCAAAATCATAGAACAACATAGATTTTGAAGAATCATCATGGTTGCAAGGATTCTTAACAAATCCTCTAAGGCACGTTGAAAACAAATGTATTTATTTAATCAGTGTATATACCACCCAAAATAAAAAGTGACCAAAAAACAATATCAAATTACTACTTGAGGGAAGAACAACATAAACATCAAAGGAAGAACTAACCTTTTCAGCAGCTCAACGACAGGGAGTTTATTCCTGAAGGCCTCGAAGGTACTTGCAAGTACAAATAAGTCCACAATTTAACAACCATTTGTTAGTGGCCACTTGAAGTTACATTGGCACTCAAAAAAGTGACTTATAACCGATTCTCACACCTACAACTGTTGCAGTGTCCTTGTGGTCACGTGATCAAAATTTGGGCACTTGGCAATCAGCATGTATTCATGACAGTCACAACAACTTGGAATCACGTGATCACCATTTGCGACTTTCCCAGCTGTTTTCTGACAATCAAAGTCAATGGGAGAATCCAGATTTGCCTAACAACCACATGATTCACTTAACAGCTGTTGCAAAAAAGTCATAAAATTGGTTGCAATTTACTTAATAACCGCCTTGCTTAGCCATGAAAATTCTGGTCCCAGCTGTAAGTCAAGGATTTATCTGTGTTAAGATAGATACAAATTTCCTCCCTCAGTCATGTAGTCTGGCTGGGCTCTAGAGTCTGCCCTGTAGAGTTGCTCTTGGGGGGAAATAGAAGAAGGGGCCTTTTGCACAGCTCCCTGAACTATATAAAATGATGCGGGGTATGGCTGCTTGCTGTGGCTTCATACAGGTGTTCAATAAGAAAAGTGGGAGCTCCGGGGCACCTGACAACAGAGGGTCCTAGGATACACCCTCACCTTCCCTGCGGGACCAGGGCCCATCACTGCTAAGCCTTGCAGTTCATTCAAGAGGTTGCTAGGATGGATGGTACCAAAGACACTGAAAGGCAAACAGGACCAAGAGAACCATCTTTCATCTCTCGCCTTGCCCAGGTCTTCAAAAGAGGGGCCGATGTGGAGAGATCAGCAGATGTTGCGGCACTATCAGACGTGTGGAGCAGGTCTCCGTGCTCCCACGCCAAATTCTTCCTGTTGGAGGGCTCCAAAAGGAGCTAACGCCACCCTGTAGGGGTGATGAAGAAAAGAGGAGCACCCTGTAGTTTGGGGAGAGCAACAACTCTCCTGTAGGACTCAAGGCTTCCTCTCTCTCTCTCTACAAGGAGAGGCAGTTATCATGGCTGCCATGAAGCTGGGACAGCCAAGGCAACAAAGAAACGTGCAGGAGCGATGCAGATGAACAGTGATTGGAGCTGGGTGAGAAGATTCTTTTTTATTTAGACCCTAACTTTAAAGAAAAAAGGAAAAGGAAAAGAAAAATACAGGAAAAGAGACTCTTAAGAACTATTTTTAAAGCAGCGAACTACCATAGAGAGAAAAATCCTAGACCCAAAAGAAAGGAACTAAGGGGAGAATAGCCAAAGACCTTTTAAAATATAGAAAGTTGGATTCTTAAACTGGGTATGTGTTGTTTTGGAAAGGTATTATAAAATGTTGGAACTATCTACCTGAATCTACTTGAATAGCTGATTTTGCTTCGATTAAAATCAGATTAATCAATTTATCAGAATTGAAACAACATTAAAACCTAAGCTGAGGGCGCCATCTACTGGTGAATGGAAAATATACCATACCCCTACAACACTAGGAAAACTCATAAGAGAAACACCTAACATTCATCCGGAGGAATGTGGTGATACTTACTGTTCTATAACTATCCATTTTATGATTACTGGAAATTTTATTGTGAGAATAAGGAAGACTCTCAAGTAAAGAAAAGTGACTCTTAATTTGTGGAGGCTGCCTGGAGTGATTAATAATCCTGAGATATAAAGAACTATGATTATTGGACTTTCTGAGGAGTAACATTGGCTTTGAGAATATTGTTTTTGGGCTTGAGTAAGAGCGGGACTTAAAATAAGATAAGATGCACCATCAGAGAGAAATGAGTGAGATTTCAAGAGAAATGGTTTTGTTGTTTCAAAGCATTAGGGGTACTATGACAAAAAAATCACAGAGAGATAAAGAACCTAATGCAAGACATAAATGAGAAAATAGAAAATATGCTACAACTGATAGTGAATGAAGACCAAAGAGTCCAGGAAAAAGGGAAGACAGTAGAAAAATGGAGGAAAAGATAGAACAGACAAACCAGCAAACAAAACAAGAGGAGGGAAAGGAGAAAGCGATAAAGATAATAATGATTGATGAAAAAACCAAGGGAAAAGTACTCCAAGAGTCTTAAAAATGGAATTGGATAACCTGGAAGATACTTTTGAAAGGGAAATAGGAGTCTGGGTGGATACTCGGGAGACCTGGCAGATTAGGAGGATAGAGATGGTAGAAATATTCAGACTCAACAATGAAGGCACAGATGCTGATAGAGACAAAGATCTAAGAGAGGAGTATGGGAGGCAAGCTAAAAAATGAATAAGAATTGAAGAATTGAAATAAAAAACTTTTTATATAAAAAAAAGAATTGAAGTATTAAAACGGGCAAGAGATGATGGATAGAAAGGAATTATCACTCTTTCTTTCTTTCTTTTTTTCTTTTTGTTAATACAATGATGGTCTCATTAGAAATAAGAATATACACCTTTATATAATGTAAGAGTTAGATGGAAAGATTGGAGGTTGAAAGATTATATTATTAGGTATGTTTAAATAATAGGATGACTGCTACTGGAATGGTGTATTGTGACTTAGAACAACCAAATAATGAAAGACTATGTCTTAATATAAACAAGTGTACTAATGCTAGGATTAGTAATGGTGGCCTGATTAGAAGTTAGAATAGAGATCGAAATAAGAAGAAGGGGGAATATTTAGAGATTGAAAGATGGTATGACTATGTATGTTTAAGAATATCATTGGCATTAAAATGGAACATTGAAATATTGAATAACTACTCTAAAAAACAATCATGTATATTACATAAGTTTGATAAATGTAACAATTATGATTATCACTATTATTGCGGTTTGTATCAAAATGAATTATACCCAGAGGCCACACTGTTCATGTATTGATATTGATGTATATTTTAAAAAATCCAATAAAACTAAAAAAAAAAAAGAGTGGCCAACTTGGTGAGGGTGCCATGATCAGCCCTGAAAGAGAAGAATGCTTGACAACTGACTCATTTATGATGGTCGCAGCATCCCGGAGTCACTTTTGTGACCGTCTGACAAGCAAAGTCAGTGGAAAAGCCAGATTCACTTAACAACTGGGTTACTCATTTAACCACTGCTGTGATTCACTTAACAAATGTGCCAAGGAAAATCGTAAAATGGGGCAAAACTCGCTTAATTTTTCACTTAACAACATAAATTCTGGGCCCAGTTATGGTTGTACGTTGAGGACTACCTGTATAAAATAAAAGAAGATGTTCTCATTTATACCTAGAAGTTCTTAATTATTTTGCCGGTATTCTTGTAATCTGGAAGCTAAGGATTTACAAACATTTCTCACCTATCCCTACTCTCAGTAATCTTGATTTATTTTGAAACGATATTCACTATCAAAATACATAAACATGACTTAAAATTATTTCAGGAAATTGTTAAAATTTATTTTAAGAGTAAATATCAAGTAAATGCTACCCGTTTTGTGTAAGGGTTGTCTTACATAGTTGTTCAAAAATTCCTTCAGTTCAAAATGGTGGGAAGGGAGACACCCAGGATTACCAATGTCATTGCTTCTGCTCCTTCCCATTTGCAACCCACTACCGCACCCACTTTTATAACAATTGTCTGTCTGCAATTGGAAACTTTCTGCTTCTTTGGGGAGTCATAGAAAACTCCTTGAAGGAAGATCTTGGGTGATGTAACCCAGTCTTGCCAGCAATGGATTGGATTGCTGGCAATCGAGACCCAGGAAGCCAGTGGGGAAAGGGGCCAGAAGCAGTGGTGAAATCTGAACCAGTTTACTACTGGTTCACTGGCTGCACATGTGCAGTGTACACCATGCACCAAATGTGAGGTGTGCACACACAGTACACACCAAAAGGAGGCATGCAGTAAGTAGAACTGCGCGCGAGGGGGGGTGATCAGCTGTGGCGCACTATCTTTTTTTTTTACTTTTAAAAGCAATGCTTTTAAAAGTAAGAAAAAAAGCCTCTGATGATCGGGCAGCTCAGCTGGGCATGGGACGTGGCAGGGATTTTTGCCACCGGTTCTCCGAACCACCTGCTGCCATCACTACTGGATCGAGCGATCCGGTCCGAACTAGGAGCATTTCACCCCTGGCCAGAAGCCTTGCAGAAGCTGCTGGGTCAACTGATGGAAGGCAAGAAAAAGGAGGCCTCCTTGCCCGGCAATACCTGCGTCCTACCTCTCACGCTGGCTGCTCATAGCAAATGGGGAAAATTCTCTCTGCCAGTGATGGAGAAGAGGCAGAATTCTGACCCCATGGTAACCATGGTGCCTTAACAGGGGCTGGCAATACAAACAAACACAGAACCTTAGCAGAAGATCAGTTCTGCAATCCTGGGCATTGCAGAATGAAAGAGACATCACATTTCTGTCTCAAACAAAGAAGGGAAGAAACTCGGCGATCCCGAGACCCAGTGAGAAGTTATTTGGTAAAAACTCTTGCCCTCTGCCTGGGAGGGTGAGTTCCCTACCATCTCTCCTTCCAAACTCTGGATTACCAGAGGCCTTTTTTCTCCCCTGACTAATCTCTCCACCAAAGATCCTCACGCTGAAAACTGAGCCCAGGACTCCCTGCTTCGCCCTAGCCAGAACTGCTGGGAACTTGCTGTGACCCACCCAGTGGCTGTGAATGCATGGTGTAGATGTCACCCAAGCCCACTCCTCCTAAATGCACTCGGCCACTGCAGATGAGGATGTGTTTGGGAGAAATTAACTCTTTTTCCTGAGGAAGCCCATAGAATCATTCACACACTGCCATCCACCCCAAAAAGCCAACAGTTTCCAGACTCAGCCTGCCTAAAAATACTCCATGGGAAACTGAGCAGCAGCTCCTCTTGGGGTATTGAGGCTGCCCATCTGACCAGAGCTGCTTGGCCTGTGGGTGAAGAGACAGAGAACTGCCCCCCTCCCCAATTCACCATCCCTCTCTTTGACAGGGCCAGCATGTCAGAGTTCTGTTTCTCCTCTCTGTCTTCATCCTGCCTTCTTCTGGAGGAGCTGGTGAGTGGAGCTCCTGAGCCCAGATACACCTCCCCCCCGCTCAAATTCACAGGACCACAACAAGAGCTTTTGGGCAGAGGCTTTTGGCGTTGGGAGGTACAAGGAACACAAAGTGATGGAGAAACAGCATTATGCCTGTTTGTGCCCATGACTGCCCTCTGCTGCCATTACCAGATCCTGTCCAGGCAGGAAAGAAGTGAGACTGGATAAACTGCTTTAATTGGTGGAAGTTTCCTTTCCAATTGCTGAAGCATTTTTCAATCCTTTTATTGCTGCTTTGGTGTTGCTAATTGTCTTCCCTTCAATTTTTACAGTCACAAAAACTTCGCAATTGGATTGAGATTAATTTCTCAATTAATTTCCTCAGCAGCTGATATAGTTGTTTTTGTACTGTTTATAACTGTTTTAGAAATGTTTGCTGCCCAGAATAACTGGACTGAGATGGGCGGCTATAGAAAATGAATCTTCTTTTCATGGTCAGTATTGACAATCCCAATTCTAGGAAACACAACCAGTCATTTCACACAATGGGCGCCTTCCTAGAATTGGGATTGTCAATACTGACCATGAAAAGAAGATTCATTTTCTATAGCCGCCCATCTCAGTCCAGTTATTCTGGGCAGCAAACATTTCTAAAACAGTTATAAACAATACAAAAACAACTATATGCAGCTGCTGAGGAAATTATTATAATTGTCATTGTAACCAAAAAACGGGTCTCTTAACGCATTCGGAGCCCCAGGCTGGGCACATAGCCAAGTTTTAAGGCCTTACGAAAGGCCAACAGGGCTGGGGCCATCTGAGTCTCTGAAGGACGGTCCAGAGGGCAGGAGCTACAGCAGAGAAGGCACATCTCCTGGTCCATGCCAGCCGATATTCCTTGAATGACAGGACCTGCAGCATGCCCATTTCTGCCAGACAGGATTGGACAGGTAGAAACCACGGAGAAAAGACACTCCAGGTAAGGCACTTCAAAGCTGGTAGGATTTAAAGGTCATAACCAGCACCTTGAATTGCATACTCCAGTAATTAATGCAGCTGACACAGTAGTGGTGTTATACGTATTGCATGTCTGAGGATCCTTCATTGCATTCTGTACAGCTGCACTGGTTCAGAACTGTGAGTGCGCACACGCTTTGCTTGTGCACAGCACTTCTGCAGATGCGCAGAGCGTCCGTGATGACATCCTCCTGCTGCCGTCACTACCGGTTCGCCTGAAGTGAGGTGAACCGGTAGAAACCCACTACTGGTACGAGGGCATAAATGACCATGAGCAGAGCCTCCCAGTGCGGAATGGGCACAAAAGGTGCACCACCCAAAACGGTGTATACACCCTCCTTCCTTGAAAGGAAGCCAGGAAGGAAAGCTGGGAGCTCTGGGAGAGAATTTGTACGCAGCAATTTAATGAGCGATCAGAAACAAGGGCAACATTGCAGGAAGTGCAAGGGACAAATTATAGCAGAAAGAATGGTAAAATGAAGCTGTGCCATTTGAGCATCCTGTAGAACAGGGGCCACCAGCCTTTTGGGCCCCAGGGACCAGTTACGTGGAGAGAGATTTTTCCACGGACTGGTTTTATGTGCTGCCTGCATCCTGCAGATGGGGCTTCGCTTGTTTGCATGGCCTGGTTTCTGGCATGCTGAGGCTCAGCGCTGGTCCACGGACTGTGGGTTGGGGACCCATGCTATAGTTGGGAAAATGGGGAAGAAATGCAAAACCTTAAAGCAAGGACAAAGAGGCCTTGATGATGGACTTGGACATTTCTTTCACAAAGCTGCAGGTTGTGGCAGACAAGCCAGCTTAGTTCCCACAAACTCTGTCCAAGAGGTTGCTGCTGTCGGTGAATTCCCTTGGCTGGTCTCGCTGCAGGATCAGGGCAGCCACGTTGTGCTTGGTTCCATCCTAAGTCAAGACTGGATCCTAAGCGCAGCCTCCAGTTTCCACAGCAGGTAATGCTTAGGAGCTCATTCCAAGCAAGCAAGAAAGACAGCCCTCCTGGGATTTTACACACACACACACACACACACACACACACACACACACACACACACGTGGGAGTTCTTCCAGCAACATCCTTTCTTTGCATCTGGGACCTGGATATGCAGCCACGTTGCATTCATGATGGTGACAAAAGCAGCACTTGAGATCCTGGTGGAACACAAGAGACCACTTTTAAATGATTATTTTGAGATGGTAAAGATTCTCAAAATCCTGCTCATTTCCCACTTCCCATCAATTGTCTGTGCTTAGCTCCCTGGCATTCCGCAGGCCCACTGGCTCCTTTTTAAAAAATCATTGGCTCTTGTTTTAGATTTTTTTGAAAAATATGTTTATGGATTTGACATGCATAGAGTGAAACAGTAGCGTATGCCACCATTACTGTGTCCCCTGAGGCACACTTAATAAATATGAATGCTGCTTGGAGCCGGGGTGGCGCAGTGATTAGAATGCAGTATTGCAGGCTAATTCAGCTCACTGCCAGGAGTTCAATCCTGACCAACTCAAAGTTGACTCCGCCTTCCATCCTTCCAGGGTAGGTAAAACGAGGACCCAAACATTTGGGGGCAAGATGCTGATTCTGTAAACTGCTCAGAGAGGGCCGTAAAGCACTATGAAGTGGTATATACCGTAAATCTAAGTGCTATTGCTATTGCTTGGGCCCATTGCTACTTGCATTGGCTAGCAGGGTATGTAGAGCTCCCTAAATTGCACCACCAGTCAAGCCAAAGGGGCTGTTTGCCATCTTCTTCTTCCTGTCCCTGTCCTTCACAGCACTGGTGGTGTAAGAAGCAGATGGTAACAGACCAAGTGCCACGAGGGAGGGTGGAAGGGAGGCAGCGGCTGTTTCAAGCAACTCGGTACAGCTGGAAAAGGCAGCATATTCTCCTAATTAAAGGGTGCAGCACCATGGGGTTTTTTTGGTAGAATTCTTCTACAATGATAGTTTGTATTGATTACTTTGCAGCAGTGCATATATTAGTCAACCAATAACTATTGATACAAGCCAGTTTGGGGTAGACGTTGAGGCATCAGGTTAGAAACTGGGGGATGTGAGTTCTAGTCCCAGTTTAGGCACAAAGCTAGTTGAGCCAATCTTTATTTTTATTTATTTATTTATTTTCTCTCAGCCCTAAGAAGGAGGCAATGGCAAACCACTTTTAAAAATGTTGCCAAGAAAATGTTGTCCTGTCTCTGAGAATCCGACATGATTGAATGGGGGGAAAACTACCAATAAGTATAAAATATAATGTATTTTCTTATATATCTCTTTTCTTTTTTAGTTTATATTTTCAGTGTGTTGGGGGTTTGCCTTTTTATTTTGATTTAAACAAAAAAAAATTTTTTGTTATGTATGTTAAGAATAGTTCAGTTGTCCTCTTGGCGCTAGAAAAAAAATGGAAAGGGAGCATCAGTTGTTGTTGGTCCCAACAGGGCCTCAGCCCAGCCCTGTGCCTGATTCTGACAACCACACACACACACCAGCGATCAGCCAGGCAAAGCCTTTTTGTACCCAGACGGCCCTTTCAGGCTGCTGCCTTTAACATTTTTGAAGCATGTGGGAAAATTTGAGTTTCTACTCTCAGCCAGGATGCTGATGAAAAAAATCTAATTTGACCCTGAGGTTCCTGTGTCTTCTCTGCTATTTGCATGTGGCTGGCTTTAAACAGGCAAATTTTCCTCCACTATTCCATCTCCAGGCAGCGGAAATTCATCTAATAAAATTTTGTTCCTCCAGCCCAGGAGATCTGCCAGAAAAATGTGGCCAAGCCCATCTAGAAAAGTGACCAGGGCTCCAGATTTACTGGACAATCCATGTTTCCTCCAGTACTCTTGCTGTTTCTTGTCCCGAAGATGCTTTTTCAAGAGGCAACTGGACTTTTTTTTTTTTTTTGAAGATGTTTTGCTTCTCATCCAAGAAGCTTCTTCAGCTCTGACCGGATAGTGGGGAAGAGCTTCTTGGACGTTTTTTCTTCGTCTTCGAACAAAAAACAAGAAAGCCCCGTTGCCTCTTGGAAAAAAAAGCACCTCTGGGACAACCATGACCTGGAGGACTGAGAATCTCTACAGGCTTTTCACTGTTTCTTGCTGTCCCTCCTGTGTTTGCAGGACCCAGATCTCTGCTCTGGCTGGAGGTTCAGATCCAAAAGGGCCCGGGGAGTATCTGGTGCACATCCAGACTATCGTCCCACACGAGGCCTTTGACGAGATAACCCTGGTGCACAATATCGCTCTGCTGAAGACAAGCACTCCACTCCGTTTCAGCGTGACCGTGCAGCCCACCTGCTTCCCCACCCCAGACTTCCCAGGGGCAATGCTGAAGAAATGCTTTGTGGCCGGCTGGCCGGACCCTCAAGGAGGTGAGCCAGAGCTCTTCTGGCAACACTCTCCCTCTGCCCCAAAAGGAGAGCCAAGAGGCGAAGGAGAATAGTTTGCCAACCTTTACAACTTCATAGCGGTTCTTTGCTGTCTTGGCTCATCAGGGACGGGTCCCCTGCAGAAACTCTCGGTGGAAGATGTGGACCCCTGCCCCTTGCACAGAACCGTCAGCACGGAATGTTGCAGCCATCGGGAAGGTGACCGAGCGCCTGGATGCCTGGTGAGGAGGCCCTCAAGGGCGCATTAACCTCCCCTTGATCCCACTGGGGGCTTCAGAGGGCCACCTTTTCCTGCTTTTTCAAGCAAGCTTGCACTGAGCAAGAATCTGCCAGAAAGCAAGTATGCATTTCGCCATGTTTCCTTGGCAAGCCTCTCAGGTTAAAGAACTGAGTAACGTCTGTGTCTCTGGCCTTTAAACAAAATAATTGCTAAAATCTGGATTTGAGATAACTCTCGTATACTGTAGAGCAGGGGTGTCAAATTCAATTTCATTGAGGGCTGCATCAGGATTGTGGTTGACTTTGGGGGGCCAGCTGGGCGTGGCTGACTGGGTGGGTGTGGCCAATTGGGTGGGCGTGGCCAGCTTGACACCACTCCCCAAACTGATGGCATGTTTCATCTTTGCATTGGGTAGACTGGGCCAAAGCAACATGGGCTGGCCCCTTACATTCTCCAGGACGGCCCATATCGTGGGCCAGATTCAGCTCTTGGGCCTTGTGTTTGACACCCCTGCTGTAGAGGATCGTCTGCATTTGCATCACAATTATTCAAATGGGCAGAGATTTCTGCAGGATGCTAATGTACAGTCATTTGCTTGTACCACTCCTGTGAGTGGCCGTCAGGAACCTTAAGCCCCTTCGAGAGACCTTGGGGCAGCCATTTGGGCTGATGGGCTCCTTTCTTCAAACCCTTCAGGACTCCACCTTGCTCACTTGGCTGGTCTGTTTTTCTCCTGTGGGGGCGCTGAGCCCCCGAGACATCCACCCTGCAGGGGAGTTGGGATCCGTGAGGTCAACTAGTTGTGCCTCAGATAGTCCAAAAGGGCCTCAAATTGTGACCTGTGTTTTCTCTCCAAGGGGTCAGCCGGCAACCCAGTCCTGTGTGAGGCGGACGGAAGGTGGGTGCTGAAGGGCCTGCTGAGTGAAGGGGGCGCCAGATGCTACGGGCCCTTCCTCTACAGCCGGCTCATCTACTACAGCGACTGGATTGTGGCCACCATGGCCAAATGGAGGGCTCCAGCATCCCCCTTTCCTGGCCAAAGGCATCCAGCCTTTAGGGGCCCAGCAGAGGAACAGGCAAGGCTGCTGTTTGAACCCTTTTTGGCGCTGAGAGCCCTGAATGTCTCCGATGTTTCAGAAGACCCCCTTAGCCTGAACCTTTCGGAGGAGCTGGAGGAGGGCAGCCTGGGCCCCGTGGAAGGACCCCCCGAGGCACGAGCAAACCCTCCACTCTACTACGACTACTATGGGGGGGAGCTGCTTGCCATCTCTTCAGCAAAGACCGGCCAACCACAGGGGTTGCAGGGCCTCCTCTGCATGGGCCTCCTGCTGCACCTCCCGGCTTCCTGAACTATTCCTGGGCCTCGAGATCAGATTTCTCTTGGGAGATCCTTTTACCCTCCTTGGTCTTCTTGCCCTATGAGAAGTTGGGACATCACGAGAGGGGAGAACACAAAGCATCAACCACAGGAAACTTCATGACGGCCTGTCTTTGCGTGCCTCATACAGGGCTTTGACCCCATGGCCACAGCTATGGGTTCTGCATCCATTAAATCCTTTTTTGTGTCCTATTATTAATGAGATGTGCCTTTACTTGAGCTTTTGGCCAGGACGGAGAGCGGCCTGTTGCTAGACTGGGACCAGTGGTCACCATGTGTTAAGCAAGGGGTGCAAAGGTGGGGATTCCTTGTACCAATTATGGATTTGGTCCACAACTTTGCACTTAGGGTATAACTCTGAGCCGCAACCTCATGCCTGAGATGTTTGGGGTTTTTTCCTGATCTCTGGATTTTAAAACTTCTTGCCTAATGAAATTCTGGAGAAGAAACTCCACCATGAAGGGTCCTTGGTGCTCTCTGAGCTTGGCTGTTTCTTTGCAGACGTTTCATTACCCAAACTCATTTCAACCCAGAGCTACAAATATTCTCCTTCAGTGAAAGGCTTCCATCTCCTTGGAATGCCAGTTTGGTTAGATGACCTGTAAAGCAGAGGTGACATTCAGCCAGTTCTATCCGGCTCGGGTGAACCGGTAGCGGCGGCTGCGGGAGGCTCCGCCCACCCACATGGATGTCATGATGTCACTTTTTTGTGACATTTTAAGCCTCCGCGCATGCGCAGAAAGATTTGCGCATGCACGGATGACGGCACACAGAAGCGAAGCGAGCACGCACATGGCTTGCACACATTTGTGAACCGGTAGGGAAGGTAAGTGAATTTCACCCCTGCTGCAAAGGCTTTGGCTGCCATCTCTGCCCTCGTGTTCAGCAGAGTGCCCTTTAGCACATGGCACGGAATCCGCCTGCAGATGCCCAAAGGCTGCACCTGGGTGTTTGTGCCACTGTTCTCCAGCAATTAGAAAATAAATCAGAAATAGAACCGAGCAACCTACATTTTTAAATGAAGTTTTTACGTGGGGTTTAGTTGGCGTTCTAGTATGTAGAACAATTAATCAGTGGAACAGCTCGTCTTCAGAAGTTGTGGGTTTTCCATCATTGGAGACTTTTAAGAGACCGGACAACCATTTGTCCCGAATGCCTTAGGGTCTCTTGCTAGCAGACCTCCAAGGTCCCTTCCAGCCCTGTGATTCCTATAGAAGCCAAGAGCTACAGGACAGAAAGTCTTGCTTGGGGCTGTTGCCCTTCTTAGGGCAGCCCTGGGAGTGGGAGGCTTGGGGGGGGTGCTACCTTTGGGGTCCGTTTGGGTCTGATGGGATTAGGCTTGACCCTGCTCACGTCCAAAAGACCAGGAGGGAGGAGATGCAGCCCCCATTTTGTTTCTTGTCTCCATGCTCTCCATCCTCCTCCTCCTTTCAAGGGCCCCAGGGGGCTCATCTGATGCAGCTGAAGATCGGGGTGGGTGTGTGTCGGGGGGGGGGGGTGTTGGACTAGATGCCTTTCATTTCTGATTGTAAATTCCTAATGAATCCATTTGCATTTATTCTCAAACATTTGGTCAGCCATTTTCTTTGTACAGGCCAAGAAAAATTGGGGTTATATAACTCTTATTTTTTTCAGTTCAACATTTCTTTATATTCTCATATTTCAGCTTTTTTTCCCATTTCAACATGTTTAACTTGCAATATGTAAATTTAAAACATGCATCTCCTGCTAAAGATTTCTCACCATAAACTTCACACAAGATTTTAAATATTCTGGACATTTTTAGATGCTGCCTCCAACCTATCAGTTTTGTTTTGTTTTAGTGTTTCCCGAACAGAGACGTAGCCTGTGCTGGAAAGTTCTGACCCAGGACGGTATCCTCGGGCAATGTTGACAACTGTTGACCTCACCCTATTCCTCAGAGGTCTGTAAGGGACGTGCATAAGTGCACCAACATGCCTACCGCCCCTGTCCTAATGTTCCCTTTTATTCGTACCCATTTCATGTATTCTTAATCATGTTTATACTTTTATCTGTTATCTTATATATGCTTGACAAAATAAATAAATAAAATAAATAAAATGTGCATTTTCAAAAGTTTCCTCTTTTACCTAAGTTGTCACAGAGACATCCCCGTATTTCTGCTTCAGGCATTTGCCTCCTACATTTCCAGGGGTTTAAGCCTCCTCTTGCTTGTTATTAATTGGGGTTTTCCTTGGCATATTTCTAGGGTGACACCCTCAAAGCACTGGCAAACTGGATCACTTTTCCTCTTGCACTATTTTTCTCCTTTACCACAAAAAAGGCAACATCCATCTCCGCCCTCATTTCTTGGAAACACTGCCACTCTGGCTGGCTCACCCATGCTTGTTATACCAACTAATGGTACCATGCTCTTTGCAAAGGTGACACGGGGATGTCCTCAGGCTGCTTTGAAAATGGCCTCTCGTTGTGTGGAGGACAATCCAAGTCCATCTTCCCATTCAGTCCTTCTCAGGTCTCATCACCCACTAACCTGATGGGGACCCCGATTGGTTGGCTCTCTCCGGGGCAGGCAGTTTACAGCCGGTGGCTTGACTGGCTTCACCTTTCATTTGGGTCCATCCAGCAACCCCCTCCCATGAAGTGCAAAACACCCGTGAGAAGGAAAGGGGGCTGAGCTCTTTAATGGCCCTGAGATCCGGTTCCTCTGGACGTGCACCTGGACTAGCTCTGACTCCGCATCTCCTTTTCCACTTTTTCTCAGGCTCTGGCAGAGAAATCCTCCCAGCAAGCTGTCCATTGTCTGCTGGCAATTGCAGCTGCACTTCCTGGTTGGCGCTTTGAGGGCCTGTCTTTGGAAAATGTATCGCATTAAGGTTTCAGACCCCTCTCCCCAACTTCCCAAGACTTCAGCCCAGTGCACGAGGAGCCTGGATGTATTACCACTCCTTTTATTCATTCTCATATTGCTGAGTGATTTGAATAAACTTCATAGCTCTGTAGTCAAGCAGGTCTATCGTGATCTATTAATAGCTTAAAAGAGATCAGTTTACTAACACACTATAAAAGCCAGTCTGCAGGGGTAGAAACCGAAGCCTTGAGGTCTGATGCAACATGGAGAAAGCCTCCCGTTTGGTGACCTCCAGGGGCTTTGTGCCTATCCAAAACCTGCCTTGGCCTGGCCCGGGGGGAGTGGGGGGAGGGGAGGGGGCGGAGAGAGGGCATCATCAGGATGAAGGTCTGCATCAGGACAATGCGGCGACGAGCACAGCAGATGGCTTGCGAGTTTCCTCCTGCCTTCCTTCTCCTTATTTCTCTATAGGCCCTGCGGAGAAAAAAAGCCAGGTGTGACTTTAGCACAAGCCCTTTCTTTAAAGGGAAGAAACCGTGTGGCGGGGGGTGGGAGAAAATATCATGGGCCCCAAAGTCAGACTAGAAAGAAAAATGGGGGGAGGGGGCATCACCGACTGGCGGCGCCCAGGGGGAGGGCCTTCTCTGTGGGAGCCCCAGCCCTGTGGAACGAACTGCCCCCGGAAATTCGTAAGATCTCCGACCTCCAGGCGTTTCGCTGCGCACTGAAGACCCTATTATTCCGCCAGGCCGGACTAGCAACACAATAGTTTTTAAATTGGGATATTTAAATTTATTGGGGTTTTAAATCTGAGCCACTTTATTTAATTATTTTAAATTTTATATTGTTGTTTTGTTTGTGTTTTTAAACAGGCTGTACACCGCCCTGAGTCCTTCGGGAGAAGGGCGGTATAGAAATAAAATTATTATTATTATTATTATTATTATTATTATCATACATACAGCAGGCACCCAAGAGAGGCAATGGAAGGCCATAGAAGCCCCTGCTGTGCTGAGGGGGCTCCTGGTCATCGTTCCCCCCCCCCTGTCAAAGGCCAGGTGAGGGTCCCCCTTCCCCACCTCTGTTGCTTTTTGTCTCTCCTGTTCGGGCAGAAGCGCCTGCAGCTGGTGACTGGCCATCTTCGCCTTGTGCCAAACATTGCGGTAGCTTTGCAAGGCCATCTGCGAGAGGAAAGAAGGTGGGAACGGGTAGTCTCTCCTCCTCACAGCCCTTCCTGCCAACCGAGGCCTCCGCTGGCCTCGAGGAAGGGCAGAGCCCACCCTTCCCCCAGGAATCTCCACTTCTGGGGGGCCTGATGTGGACTGACGTGCATAGTTGAGATTTTCACAACACACTATGGATGTTCTCACAAAATGGCTAGCAGATAACCATTAAAATCGTTTACCAGAATGTTACTTACAGTATCTGCCCCCATGGCAGAATATTGCAGATCACCCTTTTATTCTTCCCCAGGCATGGGACAATTTCCAAACAAAGCACAAGTCACAGTGCCCACAATTTTTATTGTCTGGAAAGGCTGCCGGGGGCGGGAGGGAGCAGTTGGAGTCTAGAGGAATACTTGGGAACAGAGATGTTCCTGCAGGTTGGCACTCTGCTTTGCTGCATGCTAGTTTGGTGTACGGTAGTCCTCACTTAATGACCGGTCATTTAGCAACCATTCCAAGTTACAGCAGACTCCACGATGGTTGTTATTCAAGGGGCTACCTGTAGTGGTGAAGGTGCTGGCCTTGAAACCAGGGGACCATGAGTTCTAGTCCTGCCTTACTCATGAAAGCCAGCTGAGTAACTTTGAGCCAGTTTCACTATCACTGCTACTACTACTACAACAACAATAACAACAGCAAGAATAATAAGAAAAAGAAAAAAGTCTGGTTCATTGCAATACCAGGTGATGCATGAATTGAAGAGAAACAACTAGAAAAGATAATTAAATACCGCAATGTGCAAATTGAAATTGAGCGATTGTGGAGGAAGAACCCATGGGTGTATCAATAGTAATAGGAGTCCTTGGAGCAACACCCAAAGGGTTGCCTAGATACATGGAAATTCTGAACTTCTCAGACCCCAATATTCTGACTTTGCAAAAAAAAAAAACGCCCTCGGAACTGCCTATATACTCAGACGTTACCTTAACAGCTCTTAGGCCCTTGGTTTGGACTTGAATTGTTAAGTTTTTACCAGTCCCAAACTGTGAATCAAACTGAAGATTAAATCAATAATAACAACAACAACGCCAGCTTTCTACTTTATTACAAAAATGTCCTAAAATGTAAAAAGGTCAAGTAAGCAGGGAAGCCATTCAACCCCAGGGAAGCACGTCATGATGTAGGCTCCAGGTCTACCTCAAGCAGCCCTCTCAACGGTGGGCATCCTCTCTCCCTCTCAGCAATGGGTGACAGTCTCCCTATCATGACTGTTGTGGCCTGTCAGCCGCCGGCTCCTCCAGCAGCCAACTCAGAGTAGGAGGAGGAGGCGTGGGAATCAGGGTCAGCCTCAAGGCAACCTGAGAGCTCCGAGGGGGAAGAGGGAATGGAAGGGGCAGAGAGAGAGCGGGAGGCGGAGGCTGGGCCGTCCGTCAGCCCTCAGATGGAGAGTCAACAGCCCCCAGGTCTGGAGGTGGCTGATGAGGAAGAGGAACAGCTGGGCCCAGTGCCTGATGCACGGATGCGCAGAAGGCAGAGGAGAGCAGTGGAAATCTATGGGCCGATCCTTGGGACGGAAGAGCCACTGCTGCTAGTGAAGCCCCACCCTAGCTCTGGGGATAGAGAAACTTTTTGCCGGGGCTGCTGGCGCTCCTAATAAAGGAATCTTTGAATCCACTTCAGAGGGTTTGTCATGTTTGGGGAGCTGGGTCAGAACAACGGTGTTCTTTGTGGCCCAAGCGGCATGCAGATCTCTTGGATTCCAAAGCAGAAGCCAAAGTAACAAGGAGGATGGCCCAAGAACCTGGTGCAGGTCCTTCTTATGGACAAATGATCATTGGTTCTTACAGAAGATTAAATACTATCTTGTCCTCATTTTTATTTCTCTTTTAGATCTCAAGCACCTGAGCACCTAACTTGGCAACTTTCATTCTAAGTCTCTTTCTTTCTTGCATCTGTCAATGTTGGAGGATTCGTAGCGTGATGTCCATTCAAAGTAACCAGAAAATCAGCCATGTCCACCTTCCACATGAATGCAAACGAACACCACGGTCAGAACTTACCTACACTTACTTTGTTACTGACCTCTTCTAATGCTTGGAAAGTTTAAAACAAAGGATGCTCTACAAACAGTGAAAAACAAGCTCCTGCCCATGGCTACCAACTAGGAAACACGGTCCTTCATAACAACAGACGCTTAAGCATATTTGTTGACGTGATTTTCCCATGATCTTTAGGAAGTCTCTCCAATGATTGTTGGTTTTCTTCAACCAGATGCCACAAACTGTCTTGTGGCACATCCACTAAATTGTATTCCTATGAAAAATGCAGTCGAGTATCAAATGTGCTTCCATCCAAAAGTGACCCACTATCACAGCCCTACCTCTACAATTTCCACCTTCCTCTCCCAGATCCTGAGGCTGTTTTCTAGATCGTGAACAGCCACCTTCTCGTGAACATAGTTGAGAACAGGAGGAACTTTGTACTCTGCCAGTTGTCGCCGTAGTTTTTTGTTCAGGACCTCAGCCTTTACCCGTTCCTGTGAAAGAGACGAAGCACTCTGAGAGGGAATCTGATCTTGGCCCTGATCTCTTGCCTACCACTGGATTAACATTAATTGGGACTCAGGATCTTTACCTGTATAAAAAATGGCACTAGAAAAGGATTAAACCCATCTGCCCTTATCCTGTTGCTTCCTTAAATACTGAGCCCCTTCCTGCTTCTTTGAAGAAATGGCATTCATAGTACACTTCATGGGTTCCTAGGAAAATCTACTATTTGTGATCAGGGAATTTCTATACTGTCACCATTTCCATTTTCCAATGATCGGTAAAGTGGTGTGAAAAAGTCCAATTGTCTTCCCTTCTGCCAACACAGAAATGCTGGGAACAAGGACTCAAAAGTGCTGGCCTGCTCCAGGTGGCCTCTGTTCTTGCAAGTCCAGTAGCTCCTGCCCCCTTTGAAAAAACTGGAGCAGCTGCCCCAGTACAGGAAAGGAGGAAATGGATGTTCACTCCTCACGGCTGTGCCTCGGGCTTGCTCAGGTGAGCAACTGAGCAAGAGATGCCAAGCCCTCAAGGCCGCTTCTGGGCTGGGGGCAGCCAAGTTCCCTCCAGGGACGGAATGGGCTACCCCAAGTAGCACAGGGCTCCAGCCTGGGGCAGTTTTTCTTGCATCACCAGAAGGAAGAGGCAGACAATGGCAATCCAGGAAGGAAGCAGAAGTTCCCCAGGAGTCAGTAAACTGCTCTGTCTGCAGAGTGGAGAAAGCTACGGCTTCCGGTGCTGAACAGGCACCATTTCTTTTTAACTAAAGGAGATCTGCTTTTTCATTATCCAAATTTGCCCTCTACAGGTTTTTAACATTTTATTCACACCCTGAAGCATGAAAGATGGTGAAGCCAATAATTCCAAGGATGACTCTTTTAATTTCCTGCCCAGGTTTTAGCACACATTTATTTATTTATTTTATTTATTAATTTAATTTGTATACCGCCCTTCTCCCAGAAGGGACTCAGGGCGGTGAACAGCCAAAATTAAAAAACATACAAATGCAAAAGTTAAGATAATTAAAAGAATTAAATCATTGGCTACCCAAATTTAAAACCCCAAATCCATAAAATTTAAAATCCCAATTAAAAACCATTTAGGCTAGGCCGGCTTGATGAAATAAAAACGTCTTCAGGGCTTTACGGAAGGTCCGGAGGTCCGGGATCAATCGTATTCCAGGAGGCAGCTCGTTCCACAGGGCGGGTGCCCCCACAGAGAAGGCTCGCCCCCTGGGGGCCGCCAGCCGACATTGCCTGACCGACGGCACCCCGAGGAGGCCCTCTCTGTGAGAGCGTATTGGCCGGTGGGAGGTTATCGGTAGCAGCAGGCGGTCTCGCAAATACCCTGGCCCTAAGCCATGGAGCGCTTTAAAGATGAGAACCAACACCTTAAAGCGCACCCGGAAGACCACCGGGAGCCAATGCAGCTCGCGCAGGAGAGGTGTTACGTGGGAGCGCCACGTCGCTCCCATAATCACCCGCGCGGCCGCATTCTGCACCAGCTGGAGCCTCCGGGTGCTCCTCAGGGGGAGCCCCATGTAGAGAGCGTTACAGTAGTCCAGGCGTGACGTAACCAAGGCATGAGTGACTGTGCACAAGGAGTCCCGATCCAGAAAGGGGCGCAACTGGCGTATCAGGCGAACCTGATAAAAAGCCCCCCTGGCCACGGCCGTCATATGCTCTTCTAAAGACAGCCGTGTGTCCAGGAGGACGCCCAAGTTGCGAGCCCCCTCTGTGGGGGTCAGTGACTCGCCCCCAATAGCCAGCGATGGCACCAGCTGGCTATACCGGGACGCCGGCATCCACAGCCACTCGGTCTTGGAAGGGTTGAGCCGAAGCCTGTTCCTCCCCATCCAGACCCACACGGCCTCCAGACACTGGGACATCACTTCGAGGGCATCATTGGGGTGGTCTGGGGTGGAAATGTACAGCTGAGTATCATCAGCGTACAGATGGCATCGCACCCCAAAACCACAGATGATCTCACCAGCGGCTTCACATAAATGTTGAACAGGAGCGGCGAGAGGACCGACCCTTGCGGCACCCCGCAAGCAAGGCGCCTCGAGGTCGACCTCTGCCCCCCTGCCAACACAGACTGCGACCGGTCAGAGACTGCGACCGGCTCTGAGACTCTGGACAGCCGGGGAAACGAGAAGAGTCATGGGGGCCGAGGCATGCCACCGCTTGGAGATAGCGGGTGCGTGCCCCCACCACCTGATGTGGCCCCCTACTCCCGCCATATCTGCCCCTCCCAACCACGGTCCTGATAGAACTGCCCTTCACCCTATCCACACTGAGCTCCTCCACACCCCGCTCCCCGCCTTCCGTTCCATGCCCCTGTAACGGGCCTGACCTATGCCCCTCCCTCCCCACCCCCCGCCCTAAGCCCCTTAAAAGATTACAAAAAGACAATTTTAAAAAACCCCACAACCCCCTCTTTGCGGCATGCCACCTCTCGGGGTTCCAAAGCCCGTCATCGAGGTAGGCCCTCGATAGAGTGGAGGGCCAAGCCTGCGAGAGGGGGGAGTCTCGCAGACCAAGAAGCTCCGCTGTGGAATACATCTTGACCACAGAGGATGGGAGCAACCATATCCTAGGGGTTGAATCTTTGGCTTGTTTAATTTTAATTTTAGGGCCTGGATTGATCTACAATTTGATCTACACTGATTGAGGAACCTGAGGAATTGATGGCAGCAGTTAAAGCAAGAGGGAAAAAAGTAAAACTACGGTAAAGGTCGGATAATCAGATGGCTCTAAATGTCCCCTGGAGGCGACCTGGCTGTCTCCCCAGAGTAAACCAGCAGAAGCCCCCGAGATCTTTCTCCTCCTGGCCCCTGCTGGAGCCCCCTCTTCCCCCTACCTCTTCCACAAGGATGGCCTCACGTGCAATTTTCTCCAGGGACTCCTTTCTCTGCGCAATGTCTCTCACCAGGTAGGTAGCCATGGCCGTTGCATAGTGCAGCTTCCTCTAAAATAGAACACGATCCTGAGGGTGGCATCACTGTCGAAGTACAGAAATGTGAACATACCTTGGTTGGACAAAACCGCCCCAAATACAGGATGGACTCTGCTTGTTTGGGGAGCCTTTCAGGTTTCCCTTTTCCTCCTCAGTAACCACTGAGGAACCCAGGAACACCCTAATTGGTCGCCTATCCTACACTAACACTGATCTCTCCCCCACAGGACTGAGCAGGAGAGCCGAGAGCGATGGGGGTCCATATGTGATGCAGGGATGGGGAGTGTGAGCTAGGTGATCTTTCGGGACCCTGTCAGCAGTCCTCTGGGAATGAAGGGCCAGAGCCAGGAGGACTCAATTATCTTACTTTGTAGAAGTTGAGGATCTGCAGGGTGTTGCCAACCGTCAGCTTCAGCTGCAGTAACTCTTGGTTTCGTTCATCTATTTTCTCTAGGAACTGAGCATTCTCAATCTTGAGCTGCTGGAAATCGACCTCGTGCAGCGCCTCTCCCAGCTCCTCCTTCTGCAAATCAGCCACAAATTTTGATAGACAGGCACCCATTTGAAGCATTTCAGAGCCAGCCCAGCCTGACCAGGCTGGAGGAAGCTGGGGCAGCCCTGGGACCTGACCTTTTGCTAGATCATTCTTTCATTCATGCTTCACTGCAGCAAAGCCACATTCAGATAAACACAGAGCGCTCTGAACTGCCAGAAGGGGCTAAAGAGCTGTGGCTGCCTAGACTGAGAAAAGCAAGAGAATTTCTGGAGTAGGGTAAAGAGAGAGAGGGCAGGCAGAAAGTGGGGTGAGTGACAGCACAACTTTAAAGTGCAGACCCAAGCCTGATATGCAAATACATTGCTCTTCTGTCCTGCAACAACTGAGGTTAGGCCAGGTTTTTAGAGACTTTTATTCAAGCCTTAACTATCCTTAGCTAACCATTTAGCTCTGGTTGGCTCTTTGTGGATAGTTTACTTAGTTGGTATTATGGTATTACTTACGTTAGTTACTATGGTGTCTGAAATAAGTCCATTTGGCTAGTCTGCCCTGCTCAAACTGTTGCTTTGCTTTGTTCCTTGGTATCCCAGTTCTGGACATATCCTCAATTTAAGGACAATAGATGGAATGAATAACAGAATATCAGAGTTGGAAGGGACCTTGGAGGTCTTCTAGTCCAACTTCTTGCTTGGAACCATGGAAAATGGATGAAATCCTATCAACTTGCTCAGGCGCTTGTTGTTAATTTGGCCTTGGCCTGGCAATCAAACATGTTTGTTATAAATATGGGAGTTATATTAATATTGGTATGATTGAGTACTTGAAAATTCCACAAACTTATGGAAGAAGGCTAAATATTATTAAAATGAACCTTAATTCTAGATAATATTTCCTATGCTAATTAGTCTTAAATACTCAACAAATCAATACGTTATTGAGAATATTTTTATAGGATGGAGAGAGGCAGCCTTCCCAGGTTTTCTCTGTATAATTGCAGCTTTCATATAAAGATGGCAAATTTTAGCTTCTACATTTTCAATTTACCAAGGGATTTATCCTACTGGACTAAATAAAATCTTAGAAGTTTTTACTTCTGTTTGCAATTTGTTTCAAAAAGCATTATTGGCATAATTAGAAAGTTATTGTCTGATCTCTCAGACACCTTGGCAGAGCTCAACTTTAGCCACAAATCTGTTGTTTTTCCAACAACGAAGGCTGCAAGATACAGTTGGAGGGATTTGGGTGAGAGCTGAAGTCTGAATCCTCTTCATTAAAAACTACTTCGGAATCACCCCAATTAAAAAAGCTAAACCTATGTTTATTTCAATAGGTCACTGAAGAATATCGCTAAAACAGAGAGTAGTGGAATATACCCTTTGGAATAGGAGTATTCTAACCAATGAGCCATCTTGTGTCTGGAAGAATGTCCAAGGTTTTTTTTTGTCCTCTTCAAGTGAGACCTTTCCTGCCCTGCAGCCGGATGCCCAGGCCGGCAACCTCTCAGCTGCTCTGAGCCGCGGGGGGTGGGGTGGGTGTGTTGATGAGGGGGGGAGGGAAGGGGATGACAGGATGGGACGACGGGGGGGGGGGGGGCATCTGAACAGTACTTGCCCTGACTTGGACTGCTGGCTTCCTGCCACAGTGGGGGAAAAGCCACCATGAGTTTCCTTTTGTGGGGAGGGGGCTTTTAAGGACACAGGATTTCAATGGAAAGCCCTCCCTTGTCTTCCTCTCCACTTCAGCCCAATTGGCAGGAACCATTGAAAGAAGAAAATGACCAACGCTTCAGCTGTCCTGTAGCCCAGAGCCAAAGTGCCACCAGGGATGCCGAGGAAGGGGCGCTCCTCTTGCAACACGCAGTGAGGGGTTGCCTCACAATCAAAGGAGGCGCAGAGGCGGACTGCCGAGCCTTCGTGCACCAGCCCTCTTTCTGAAGTGCAGCAGGGAAGGTAGGCAGAGGTTGCTTCCCGGTGGGTGCCCAGAATGGGAGGGGCGGTAGGGATAACCTTGAGAGGCCGGATGGAAGAAACTGGAGTCTGGGCTAGAAATGCGGTTTGAGGAAGCGTCTCAGGCTTGGCCCTCCCTAGTTCTCAGGAAGACAAAGGGAGGAAAGGGAGCCACACCCAGGATGTCTCTGCAAGCTCATAATACAACTAGGTTTAGTATTCGTGACTTTGGTTTCCTAATCTGGTCTACCTCGAAAGGCTGACAATGTGCTGTGGGGGCGAGTAGAGGACCCTACATGTCTCTGCTCTTAAGAGGTAGTTAGTAGCCCTTGTTCATACTGGGACAGCCTGGATGTGGGATCAGTCCTAATTCATCAGAAGGTTCCCTGTCATGCTTGTTGGACACGTGGCAGGCTGGATGTGAACTTTTATGCTGGAGTTATTTTTAAGGGGATTCTAATACCTATGATTTAAGCTGACCTGTTTTTGTCTAAAATTCACATTATTATTGATAAGCTTTAAGAAAGAGAAATAAGCAATTTATCAAGAGCAAAAAGCACAGATTATTATTAAAGGAAGTTTGACGACAGAGTTTAAAATTGAAAAAGGAACAAGACAGGGATGTCCGTTGTCCCCACTTTTATTTATTTTAACATTGGAAGTCTTGCTAAATATAATACGGGACTCAAAAATTTTGAAAGGCATAACGATAAGGCAAGAGGATTATAGAATAAAGGCATTTGCAGATGATCTGGTGGTTACCCTATCACAACCAATGGAATCAATAATCTTGATGAACGACATTATACAAGACTATGGTAGAGTTTCAGGTTTTAGAGTGAACTCAAAAAAGACTAAAATGATAGTTAAAAATATGACACAAGATCGTAAACATGAGTTTGAAAGGAGGGCAGGTTTTGAAATTGTACCTAAGGTAAAATATCTTGGAGTTCAGGTTGCAGAATCAAACATGAAATTGTTTCAAAATAACTATGAGGTGTTGTGGCGAGAGGTTCAGAAAGACATGGAGACTTGGAAAAAGCTGCAACTGTCTTTACTTGGAAGAATAGCAGCAGTTAAGATGAACATTTTGCCAAGATTTCTATTTTTGTTTCAAATGATTCCGGTGCTTAAAAGTGATAAACAACTGAAAGTTTGGCAAACTGGACTTAATAAGTTTGTCTGGAACGAGAAAAAGCCGAGAGTGAAATTGAAAATTATGCAAGATGTTCCAGAAAGAGGAGGCCTTAAACTTCCAAACCTACAGTTATATTATGATGCAGCAGCTTTAACTTTAACAAGTGATTGGTTTGGAAGTAAAAAGGCTGGAATATTGAATGCAGAAAGTTTTGATCTTGAATTTGGATGGCATGCCTACTTATTTTATGATGACAAAGTAGATAAAGTATTTAAAAGTCATATACTTAGAGACTCTTTGATGAGAGTTTGGAAGAAGCACCGACTCAAATGGGATTATAAAATACCGCTATGGCTGGATCTTGGTCATACCTTGTGGAATACAAATATAATGTCACTCGGGGGGTTTTTATACAAAGAGGTTCTTTTTACAGATGCGGGCAGATGGCAGTTGAAGACATTGCAGACACTGTTGGACGAAGGGATTAATTTAACTTGGTTACAATATAATCAATTACAATTGAGATGGAAAGAGGACCAAAAAACTGGTATTATGTTGCATGAGGAAGAATTGGTTAGACATATAAGAGAGAAAGGTCCAATGCATATTAAAAGGCTTTACAATGTTTTGCTAGAAAGGGATTCAGAAACGGAATTAGTTAAAGATTGTATGATTAAGTGGGCACAAAATTTTGAAGAACCAGTGATGTTGGAAACATGGGAAAAAATTTGGGTTCAGAATGTTAAATTTACACAGTCGCAGAATTTGAGGGAAAATTTTTATAAAATGTTTTATAGATGGCATCTAGATCCTAAAAAGTTGTCATGTATGTATCCTAATGTTCAGCCAAAATGTTGGAGATGTGACTGTTTGGATGCTACGTATTATCATGTTTGGTGGACCTGTAGGAAAGTTAAGGCTTTTTGGATAAAAATATGGTGGGTCATGCAGAATGTTTTGAAGAAAAAAATTCAATTTTCTCCACAATTGTTTTTATTGGGTATAGTTAAGGGTTTTACACGGGGCGAAATAAAATTAATATTGTATATGATAACAGCAGCAAGATTGTTGATAGGTAAATATTGGAAGAATGAAGCTTTGCCTACTATCGAGGAATGGACTTTGAAGATGGCCAGTTTTGCAGAGATGGCGAAGATTTCAGCATATTTAAAAGATTGTTCACAAGAGACTTATGAATGGGAATGGAAAAGGTGGATAGAATATGTTCAGAACAAATACCAAACTAGAAAGTATCAAATAGCTTTTATTTGAAAACAATGTATTAGAAATATTTTAATGTAAAGAGATAAAGAGGGAAAATTATATAGGGGGAGGGATGGGTTCAGGTATATATATCAGTATTATTAGTTATGAGTATATAATAGGGAAGTCTGGAGGGGAGGGTTAGGGAGGGCTAGGGAGGACGGGAAGTTTGGGGAGGGAGGTGGGGGGGTGAAAAAAAGGGGTGAAAATGTAATTGTAAAACTTTTGCAATAAAAAAAAAATATATATATATATAAAAAATAAGTAAGAAAGAGAAATAAGAATTTAAAATGTTAAGGCGATATCTAATTATATGTCACAAGTTGGAATTTATCCATTTATGAAGAACTTAATCTTATCAATTTTGAACTCTAGTTAAACTTGTAATTAAGTTCTGGGGCAAAAGGAATTCTCCCTCCAGAGCTGGAATTCTGGGTTGAAGGAAAATGTTCACACTACCAATCTCTGAAGCCAAATTACTAGAACACCAACTTACCCGTTTCCATCATGGGTGAAGCTCAACTAGTTGTTTTTATTCATTTATTTTAATACTCACACACCTTCTTTAGTTGGATTCCCCCTCTCCTAAGTTTTTTTCCTTTTTCTGCTTGCTTTCTGTCAGTGGTGAAATCTAAAAATTTTCCTTACCGGTTCTGTGGGTGTGGCTTGGTGGGGGGGTTCCTGTGACTGAGTGGGCGTGGCCAACTTGACATCACTCACAGCCACACCCAGTCAGTCACATGACCACCCCCACCAAGCCACCCCCACAGAACCAGGTAGGGAAAAAAAAAAATTTCTATTTTCTATTCTAAAACCTTATTTTCCCGTCACAAGATACCTGCAGCTGCAGCCTTTTTTTCGGTGCGCCTGGAGGCGCTTCTTGTGCCAAAAGACGCAGCGGCTGCAGGTATCTTGTAGCTAAACTTACCAGAGCTGCGCTCCCCTTCTTAAACGTGCCATCGCTGCCCTGCTCGATGCACTGGCCGCGCATGTACACACTGTTGCCACTGATGAAAGCAAGAGGCGGCGTCATGGCGATGCTCCAGAAGGGCAGGTTAACTGCGCACGTCCCGGGGCTCCTGCACATGCACCACCGCCGTTCGCTTTCTTCCTTCTCACGCCACGAAATGAAAACAAATGGCGGCGGGGTTGCTTCAGGAGGGCAGATGGACGTGTGCACATTGTGCAGCCAAGCGGGGAGGCAGAGTGGTGGCGGCGGCCCCTTCCAAGTGCAGCGCACCGAGGCGAAGGCAGGCAAGGTGGCCCCGGTGCACCTGTTTCTGCAGAGGCATGGTAATTGCTCAGCAAGGGTGGCCTCAGTGGGGGCTGCATTGGCCTCTTCGCCCGCACCATGTCCCGCTCCGGCCGGCTGCGCAACTATAAGTGCGGCGACCTGGCCTTCGGCAAAATGAAGTGCTACCTGCACTGGCCCAGCTGGGTAAGCGCTGCTGCCTTGGCTGAAAGGAAAGCACTACATGCTCTGTCCTGGCCCTCTTCCTGTGTGGGGGGCTGCTGCCCCGTCAGCGGCTTCTGCGCCTCTCGCTCCAGTTCTTCGTTTGCAGGAAGCGGCACCGTGGATGAGCCTCCTTCCTCTGAAGCGCCGCAACACGCAAACAATCCCTGGCAGCTGTGCGAAGTCCTCAAGGCTGGGCATTGGGGTGCTCGCTAAGCTAAGCTAACCTTTTTAAGTGAGTGGCTGTTGGCAAGGCGTCCAAGCGGGCAGGCGTCGGCGAAGTGGCTGGGCCGTGTGGAAAAGGGGAACTGATATTGGCCAGGGATGGGGTGGGTGGGCCAGAAGTGCCAAGTAGTGGGAAAAGTGAGTGAGCCGGAAGGAAGCGGCAAGCGGACGATTGGGTGGACATGGGCGGGGCCAGGGATTGCTACCGGTTCGGCGAACCAATGGCAATCATCACTACTGGTTCGGCCGAACCAGAAGCACTTCACCCTTGCTTTCTGTTTGAGATTTTAAAAGCAGCTACTGTGTATGTAATGCTTTGTATCCTTCAGGTTTTTTATCGCTTCTACATTATATATAAAAAATTAAAGGCGCACGTTGGCTGGCATTGTCAAGAATGGGCTGCCAAAGGTCTGTACCTGCTTGAGTTGCATCTGCATCTTCTTCTTCTGAACTTTTAGAGAATCATTTTTCAAATGAATTTTTTCTTTCATAACATCCTGAAAAATAAAGCAACCTGGCTGATTTTCCAGACTTTTTCCTTTGGGAAGATCATTTTCCCTCCCATATTTGATCAAGACACCAGGGTGGATCAGGGATCTGGGACAGATTTCCGCACCCTGGTAAGGCAGAAAGCCATTTGTCCAGATTAGGGCTTGTGTAATCCATGAAGTTTAGGACTATGTCACATAAACTATATATTGAGTTATGTTTCAATTAGACAGCCATATAAATTGAATTAAAGAAGTAAATCTAAATAAATATACCAAGTCATGTGGCTTTCAACATTGTGAAAACAAATCTTACAAGCCAGGACTGTCTTATCTCAGCCATCATATATGACAAAGGAAATCTGCCTTTTAATTCTGCTATAAAAATATAACTACCACAATAATTTCTGAGTTTGGGAACTAATTACAATGTCCGTATTTTCTGTGAAATAAAAATATGTGAAACACGTTATATTTATTTATTTAAGTCTGGCAAGATAACTGGAATTCATGAAACAGAAACCAAGTACACCTTAAATGGTGTTAGCCACAATACTCTGAGGAAGAGAAGACACGGGGTCAATGGAAAGGACATTCCTTATTCCAAGACAGATTACTTGCATTGGCTCAGGGATTACACCATTGGCACAGTTTATAAATTAACATGTCAATTACAGGTCAAGAGCTGCATTCTCATTTTGGGAGCGTTTCAGGAACTTTAAGGAGTGATGTCTGTTCCTCAATTATTTGGGAGGCTTAAAGCACCCTGAAACTTCCAAGCCCAAACTTCTGACCTCCCTCAGTTTGAATCCCTGAAAAGAATGACCACACTTTTCCCACATTTTACAGCTCCGATGAGAATTTCCCTTCTCTCCATCTTGGAGGGAGAGAAGCTGTGACTACCATTAGGATACATACAGTTAAATCAAGAAGCAAGATGGCATATTCTATTTATTTTGTTTATCAGATTATTCAATAATGGAGGATCAAGTAGACAGGAGATCTCCAAAATGGCAATCATATTTTTATGGAGCTCTATAAAGTGAAAGATTATTTATTTTTGAGGATGGTCTAATAAACGAACAATAATTCAATAATTCTCTGAAGGCAATGACAATTACAGATATCTAAAGGTGTTTCATTGTCAGGAACACTGTAAGAATGCCAATGGGAAAAGAGACCTTGTGTCCACATTCACCAATGTCAATATAATTTATAAGAATAAAATGAGAAGAACTGATTAACTGCCAACTTTCTCTACTGACCCTAGAGCGAATCCAGTCCTCCAGGTATCGCAGCACCTTATCAGAGGCAATGACGCTCCCTTTCTTCTTAGTTATGGTTTTGACTATGTCTTTGTCAAACTCTATCATAGCTCTCTTAATTTCAACCAAGCGAATATCTGCTTCCTCTAGGATAGCCTGAAGAATTCAAATTACATTGGAAATAAATACATGATATATTTCACTTATTTGCTTGGGGGGGGGGGGCAGGCCTTGAAGCTCAAGCCAGCCAAGCAAAGCAGACACCCTTACATAGGAGCCACCACCAACAGCCACCAAGAACACTTGGCCTTGTTTTAACTCAGGGATGGGTGACAATCTGCCCCCTTCAAGATAGTAAAGTACAACTTCCTGGACCTGGTGACACAGGCTGGGAAATACAATCCAGTCCAGTGTTTCTCAACCTTGACAAATTTGAGATTTGTGGACTTCAACTCCCAGAATTCCCCAGCAGCATACCCCAAACAGCCATTCTAAGGAAAATGTTACCAGGTAATTCTGCAAGGTCCTTTCTGAGTTCTCCTTCAACAGCTGCAGATCTTCTTTGGTCTCTTCTAACTCCCGCTGCACCAGGTCACATTTCTGTTCCACTGTCAGGCATATCACACGATCCGTTGTGATTCGGGACTTCGACTTGCGCCTGCTCCGCGGCTACAATCCAAAGGCACGGTCCTGAGTCACCCTCCAGCAAAAGCCAAATTTGGGGCATTTTAATCCTAGAATTTGCCAAACTAGTTTTCAGCTTTCCTTTTTCAAGATTCAGTATTAACTTTTAGATTTCTTAAGAGACATTGGGTGCAAATATGACTTAACATCTCACCATAAAATGTCAACTTAGAAAACATATTTTCAAATGTAAACATGGAAACAATTAAAATAACTCATTCAACAACTCCGGCAGCATATTCTACACTGGGCCCAACAGGGAGGAATCAGAATTAACCACAGGTATTAAATTTATCTACAGGAATACCTAAAATATGCCTTGCTGATGATGGAAGGGAACAGGATAATCCTGTTAATGGGTTGAGCCCTATGTCGTTATGCGTGTATGTGCTTGTGAGCATCTCAACCCATGTGCCTTCCAAAATGTCTTTATGAGCTGTTTCATGAAGTTCAACACATGAGTCACCAAAGCCAGTTTTTTTTCCCTCCTGATAAGAGATGCAATTGCTTTCTCAGCTGAAGCCAATAAAATGCCTTCCTTGCAACTGTTCTATCTAGGGCAGGGCAGGGCTGTCAAACTCCCGGTCCCAGGGCCGGATGCGTCATGCACTGGCCACGCCCATGCCCACGCATTCGCCCTTTAGCGAAGAGGGGGAAAGTCCCGATACGTCACGTGACGCTGCAGTGACAATGTGAGTTTGACACCCCTGATCTAGAGCCTCCAGATCCTTAAGGAGAAAGCAACTCCGTCCATAATTGGCATTTCTCCCAAATCCTGAAATACAGTATCCTCCATTTTGAGACCACTGAGTTTCAATCACATCCACTTCCTTACATTCATTAGCCATGGAGATGCCCAACTTTAAGTTCATCAGAAAAGAGAAATAAGGCTCTCTACTATTAGTTCCAGAGTTGTGAATGAGCCTTCCAAGTAGCTTAATGTAGATTGTTTATATATAAATTTATATTTATATTATATTATATTATATTTATAGAGGATGTAAGACAATAAATAACCTTGAATGCAGCAGGAGAAAATTCCCAAATGACTAAGCAGAATTTCTCCAGTATTTTCTGGAAATGTAGAAGCACCATAAAGTGGAACCTCAACTAGTAGCTCCCTCAAGCACTCCAGCAAGAATTTAAAGTCAACAACACCAAAAACCATAGAGAGTTCAAGATTAACAAAAAAAAAATCACTATTTTTTTCCTCTCTGTAAAGATCTGGGTGACCAATGTTGTCTCCATGTCAAATCCCAGTCTAAACTCAGAATGAAAAGGATCGTAATAATCTACTTTATTTCCCTAAATCTGGAAAAATATAGAATACTGGACATTAGCTGATACTTAAGATTAAAGGATGATTTCCTAAGCAACAATATCACTGGTGCATCCCTTAAAAATGATGAAAATCCACCTGTAAAAAAGAAGCATTTTGGGAGAAACACAATCATTGGTCAGATGAGGTATTTGGAGGGAGGCTCTTTTATAAAGAAAGCCAGCGATAGATCCAAAATACAAATGTGAACTTCTTATCCATTTTTTCAAGTACTTAATTGTGAATTTGATTCAAATAAACATTAATGAGTGATGTGAACATAATCACAACTTGATGGCATAATATTGGTCAAACTGGCTTCAATGCATTGGGACTATCTTATTCCAAACAGAAGTTGTGGGTGCTCCATCACTGGAGGCTTTTAAAAAGAGTCTGGACAGCCACTTGTCTAGAATGGTATAGGGTCTCCTGTTTGAGCAGGAGGTTGGACTAGAAGACCTCCAAGGTCCCTTCCAACTCTCTTATTGTTATGATGTTGCCACAATCCCACTTGTATTTTATCCTTTCTGCTCTTCTGCTCCACTGCTACAGGCTCTAACATGGGTTGGATGCTTAGTGGCCATTTAATCAAATCTTCAGGGGACTCTGATGTTCTATTTCTCACCCATGTTACTTATAGGTAGCTGGCCAGGTTTGAGAAATTACTCCATTTGGAATTTAGTAGAATTCATAAATCTCCATGTGTGGACCAATCTAATCCAGGCTCTATCTTTGCTGAGGAAAAATGCTGCAACAATCCGAACCTTACCTAACCCTGACAATGTTGGACAAGGGATGGGGAATCCTCAATTCAATCTACTCTCGGCTGCCTGTTGACAGTCCTAATTTCTCAGCCTGACTTCATTGGACTGTTGTGGCCAAACCTCCCCCCCCCAAAAAAAACAACCCTGAGGCTGTGGAGGAATGGCAACCTGAATCTAGCAAATATCGAAAGCTATCACTAGATTGTGTTTTTCAAAGGGTGGGGAATCCTTAAAAGGAGAGTAATGTTTTGCACAGCGTTTTCAGCAGCTCTCAAGAGTCATTTTAAAGCAAAGCAATGGGAAAACTGGCCCTCTCTGTCTCCACTGCATTGCCAGAGGGGCCTTTCCTGAGCTCCTCCCTGGGCTTTTGGCTTGTGCCAGGCAGCCAAACCTGACTTCTGACCCACACTCCACCTGCCCTGTTGTTGGGATCACCTGAGTTGGACAGATTTCATGGGTTGCAGTTGCAGGGGCAGGGCGGAGGATGCTCCTAAATTCAGGCTACCATGAACAAGTTGGAATTGCACTGTTGAAATGCAGACTCTGACTGCCATGGAGAAATTATATTTGAATGAAAGTTTTGGAGGAAAGAATTAAGATAAGGTAAATCTTAATAAGTAAAACAATAAAAATATAGCGTTTCAGGGTGAATTGGCAAGCTAGATTTAACTGTGTGGAGGAGTAAAAAAAAAAGAAGGTAAGTGTACCCAAGTATTAGATGAGCAAACAGCTAAACCAGGTTAGTAAAAACCCAATGGTTGCATTTGCACAACGTATTTTTAGTTTTCACTTCGACGGTGTTTTAAACTAAGACATGTGTGAGTGCTGCCCTTTGTGTTGGGCAAACAAAGACTATGGATACATTCAGTAACCAGTAAGCATGTGATGTAATTCCGTCATTCAGAAACCTATCTCATCATTAAAATGGCAGCAGAGTAAATTATTACATAGCTTACATACGGTGCTTGTCCCAAGTCCAGCGATGAACCATGTCTTTCTGCTCCCAAGTCTTTTGGCTCCACTCTACTGAAAAATTTCTCAAACATTTCTGTTTCAATTTTGAGCATGGAGTTGGTATGGCTGAACACAGAGAAAAACTCAGTGAGTGAACTTATAGGCACATGGCTCATCTAGATGTCACAAATGAGAAAAAACGCCAGTAGTACTTGAACAAATTCTGAAAAAGACAAATTCCTTTCCTCAATTCAGCCCTTTCAAGGGTTTTAGGCATGTAGACCAAATAGCACCTTTCAGATTAGGAACAGCAATGTAAATTCTGAATGGTCACCGCTGGCGATTACGTGATCCCAGGACACTGCAACCTCTCTAAATATATGCTAGTTGGCAAGCACCTAAATTCTGACCACATGACTGCAGGGATGCTGCGACCGTTATAAGTGCGAAGACCAGTCACCAGTATTTTCAGCTGCATTGTAACACTGAACAGTTCTGAAATGAATAGTCCATAAATCGAGGACTATATTCCATAAATGTTATCAAAACCAAGCAGTACAATTCAAGTTACCTTCTATTTACCTCAACTCAGCTAAAAAGAAAAAAAGCCCTTGGAGAATTCTATTTTAACCCCCCCTTTTCTTCACTTCAAGCAATTATTACTCACCCATAGAATTAGAGCTTTAAATACCTAACCAGCCCCCTCTCATTTTATTGAGTTGCAACTCATTAGAATCCTTGAAAATGGGCTGGGTGAGCTGAATTCTTGATTTAATGAATTTAATGTTGTTGATCAGATCTTCTATCTTTAAAATGGTTAGGGACAGTGTCTTATGTGTTTTTATATTGGTTTTTAACCTGTTTTTATTGGATTATTAGTCACTTAGGTGAGGTGGGTAGCCATACAATTTCAATAAATAACAACAACCATTCCTTGATTCTGGAAGCAAAAGATGAAAGTTGGGCATCATTTTCAGAACAGAAAGTGGCTTCAATGGGAGGTAGCAGACTATAATATGCAAAACTGTCCCAATGTTCCATGTAGCAATATTGATAATCTTTATCTACAGCTCCCTAATGTTTACTGTGAATGTCTTTTAAATAGATTAATCTTCACTGAAAGATGTTACATTTCAAAGAACTTTTTTCCACCCCCCCTCCCCCATTTGTTGTTGTTGTTGTTCCTGACCAAATGGAACTTGAAACACTCAAATGAGACTATTCACCATAAAATCCTAAGACTATACATCCCCTCTACTTAGACTTTTATTGAACTATACCAAGTTGATTGATTATGTCAGGTTAGTGTCAACTCTTGGCAATCTGTTGGGTCACTTCAGATTTACTGGCACAGGTTGGCTATTTTTCCTTGTTGCTTGCCATATTTCAGTGGGTATCCATCAGTTCCTGTAGCCTTCAGGAAGGGACCAAATTGCTGAGCTAACCATCTTCTATTACTAGAGCTTCTTGTAAATAATGGATGGTGATATGTCTACTGTGTAGTGTTTCAACATATTCCTTCCATCTTCCTTCCATTTCCTTTGAGTTGGTTACTACCTGTCCATCAGCATCCTTTAGCACATCAAATTAAGGTGAGAACTGCCTTCTGAGTTCAGAAATGTTTTGGAGGACTATCCTTATTTTTCCATATCTGCTTCCATCTTTTATTCTTACAGATGTTGCAATATTGCTTCTTGCTTTTCTAACTGTTCTCTGAAACTTTTTGTTAAGTTCTTCTCTAACATTTTTTAAAAGATTTTTCTTGCTTTGGCTTCTCTTCTCAGCAATTTTCATTATGCTTCATTATGTTCATCCATTTCTTTATGTTTCAGTCTTCAATCACAAGTGACACATCTTCCTTCATGTTCTGTCAACCTCCTTTGGTGGTTGGAGCATAAATTTGAATAATCATTACATTAAAGGGTTGTCCACAAGTCTAACCTATATTATTCAGTCACTAATTGCATTGTATCCAAGAACTGTTCTTGCTGTATCCTTGGTAACTATAAAAGCAATCCTATTCTTTCAACATTTTTCATGTTAGATTTTCTAAGTGTTCAATCCCAGCCGACTTCAGCTGATGTCCAAGATATTAATTGGCACTTGCTCCATATTTCACTGAGTTGAGCTTTTCCAAGCTCAAGCTTCTTACACTCCATGTTCCCACTCTAATTCTCTCCTCATAGCTTCAGATTTTCTTTTTCCCCATGGCAGCATCATCAACTAGCTTCCCAGAAGAGTTCAATCTAGCCACATCACAAACATTAGTGCAAGCATTATCTGGCATTACCTCATCTATATTTTCTATCCAAGTAGTTTTCTCACAGAGATGGTTTACAGAACAGAAGCAGAATAAGAGTTGGAAAGGACCTTGGAGGTCTTCTCAAGCATGAGACTTTGTAGCATTCTAGACAAGCGGCTGTCCAGTTTCTTCTTAAAAGCCTTCAGTGACGGAGCACCCACAACTTCTAAAGGCAATTGTTCTCATTGTTAGGAAATTTATCTTTAGTTCTAGATTGCTTCTCTCCTTGATTAGTTTCCATCCATTGTTTATTTTGCCTTTTGGTGCATGATTTTGATTCTATCTCTGTTAATGCAACCTTGGATTGCATTAGTTTTTTTGGCGGCAGCAGCACATTGCTGGCTCATATTTAGGTGACTGTCTACAAGGACTCCAACATCCTTTTGTTACCACTATTGAGCCAAGTTTCACCTAATCTTTACTTGTACATTTTTTTTCTTACCTATGTGTAAAACTTTATTTTTCTCAACATTAAATTTCATTCTGCTAGATTGGGACCAGTGTTCAAATCTGTTGAGATCCTTCTGGATCTTGAATATATCTTCTGGGTTGTTGGCTATCCCTGCCAGCTTGGTGTCATCTGCAAATTTGATGTGTTCCCCTTCTATTCCCTCATCTGTCATTTATGAAGATATTGAAGAGTCTTGGGCCTAAGATGGAACCTTGTGGTACCCCGTTGCTTACTTTCCTCCATGTAGACATAGACCCATTAAGGACTACTCGTTGAGTACAGTTTATCAGCCAGTTACAAATCCATCTAGTGGTGATGCTGTCTATCCCACATTTTTCTAACTTACAAAGGTTGTGGTCTACTTTGTCGAATGCCTTACTGAAATCTAAGTATACCATGTCCACAGCATTTTGCTGGTCCACTAATATAGTCATTTTATCAAAGAATGTGATAATATTTGTTTGGTATGATCTATTTTTGATAGACCCATATTGGCTACTGGTTATAACCTTGCTTCTTTCTAGGTATTTGCAGATCTGTTGCTTGATTATGTTTTCAAGGGTCTTCCCAGATATTGATGTCAGGATTTATTTATTTATTTATTATATTTCTGATGATAGGATGATAGGTCTTGTAGTTTCCTGTATTTGTTTCCCCTCCTTTTTTTTTTTTTTTTTTTTTGAAGATGGGAAGGACAGCAGCTCTTTTCCAGTCCTCAGGTAATTCCCAGGTGCTCCAGGATCCCTGAAAGGTCCAGTTCAATGGTTCTGAGATAACATTGCCAGCTCCTTCAGAACTCTGGGATTGTAACCCATCAGGTCCCCCGTGATCTGAACTCTAGAGGAGAGGACGGCGGTTTTCTTACCCTTTTATCTTGCTAGATCCTGACCTCCCCCGCTTTCTGCACTATGACGGACGCTCCTTTCTCCCTCGCTCCTCAGATGGCTGCTGCCCAAGAGAGGCGCCTGTGGCAGGGCAGCGAGGGTGGCCTTCACGCCTTGGGGGGCCCTGCTGGGAGTGGGTCTCTCAGCCCCCCCCCCCACCCCACCCCAGGGGCCTCGAGATCGGGCGGGGAGCGGCTGTGGCCTCCAATTCGAGGGCTGCAAAGGCGGCCTCGCGCGCTCCTTCCCGGCGGCGTCCGGGCACCGACCGAGCCGCCCCTTCCTCCTTCCCTGCCAGCGGGCGGCGGCCGCACCTGTTGTCCTCCACCAGGGCCACCAGCTGCTCGGTCGAGAGCTGGGCCAGCTCCACGTGCAGCTCCTCGGCCCCCTCGTGCGACTCGCCCGTGTGGACGCTGTCGCGCTCCGACTCCTCGTCCGCCATGGCGCTGCCCGAGACGCGGCCCACGGGCGGCCAGCAAACCGCCTCCCCCGGCCCGCCGCAGGACCCCGGCCGCCCCTCCGCGCCCGGCAGACGCAGCAGGCCCCGCGCCGCCGAGGCCGCCTTCTCCCCGAGGGCCTCCATGCTGCCGCCGCGCTCGGCCGCGGGGAACGGGCCGCGGGAGCGCCTCTCCTGCCGGGCGTCGGTTGCCGGGCTGGGAGCCCGCGGAGCCCCAGAGCCGCTCGCCCGCCCCGGCCAGAAGGCGCGCGAGACGCTCCCCGACTACGACTCCCGTCGGCCCCGTCGGCCCGGGCCGATGGCGAGGCATCCTGGGAATTGCAGTCCGAGGCGCCGGGCGTCCTCCTGGGCGTCAAGGCGACCGGCCGGCCGGCGCGAGAGCCGCCTAGGCCCCGCCAGGGCTCGCCCGCGGTCCGCCGCGCCAGAGGGGTCGCTGCAGCGCCGGGGCGAGCCGGCAGGCACCGCGGGCTTCCTCTCGCGCGGGGCGGG